CATTTGCATTCATTGATAGGCATGACATTTGCATTCATTGATAGGCATGACATTTGCATTCATTGATAGGCATGACATTTGCATTCATTGATAGGTATGACATTTGAATTCATTGATAGGCATGACATTTGCATTCATTAATAGGCATGACATTTACATTTATTAATATACATGACATTTGCATTCATTAATAGGCATGACATTTACATTTATTAATATACATGACATTTGCATTTGATAGGCATGACATTTCAGTAAAGCTCCAAGAACAAGAACAGCGCCAAGCAGAACTAAATCACTATGTTAACATGGTATATAAGTACATCAAACATAATGCATCAAATTTCACTTAATCTTAACCTAATCGAAAAAGTATCTAATTGGATTTACCACTGCAGACAACATAATGGATGAAAGCCTAGTAACAGGTTTTCCAACCCATTTGATAGGGCTACTTATAAATTGAAGAAAGAAAAAAAGTTGATAAATTTGCAAAAAGGTTAGGAAAAACTGGGTGAGAAAAACAGAGAGAAAACCCTTGAATCAAGGAACCAACAAACATCTCTGCTTACATACAATACAGAGTCCAGTGAATCAAACCAGGTCACCTTGGTGAGAGATGAGTGCTCTCACTGCTACTCCATCTGTACTTCCCAGAATTAATTGATGTTAAATTGATATTCTTCATCTTATCAATTCCTTTTGCCTCCTGCAATAAGCTTTTGAAGAGATCACCAGGTCATCCAGTAGGTGAGGTGGGTGCTTAATTATCTTCAAAACATTATTTTATTATGGTTATGATAAATTGAAGTCTAAAATTCTATTTTATTCTTGCAATCAGGATATAGAGATTTTATCATCTGGACTCATGGCTATCCCAAGTTCTGTTCAAGGTAAACTAGTTGTATATTACTGTCAAACCATGTCAAGCATGGACGCATAGAGGTCATTGACTTTTTTTTTGGGTTCTTGGTTTCATTATTTAATTTGAACATTCATTGAAAATGAATCTTCAAAGCCTACTAGCATTTACAATAGCCAATCATATAATTATGCAGCTGAAATGCAAGAGCAACTTTTTGTGCAAGGAATATGTAATATTAATGACTTACCTTCTATTTCCACTATAAACAAGAGCCTATGAGCCAAGCTAATCAAATTTCAAAACTATTATTATTTTTTCAATATTGAAGATTCATTTTCAATAATGAACGTTTGAATCGAATAATGAAATCAAGAATCCAAGATTGTGACCATCATGTGTTAACTCTTGAGGTTTGACTGTAATTGAAAAAGATGATGTTTGGATTCAAAATAGATTTAATAAAACAATTTGAAAGTTAACTTTATTATTGATAGTGTATTAAAGACCTCCAGATTTGAATCTGGATATTTTGACGATGTCCTATAATATAAGGACAACTACAAAAAATAAAAATTGCATGGAATGTACCTAAGGCATCCACAGTGGACTATAATATTTGTCCTTACCTCTTCCCACTGGTTTGTTGTTGTTGTTATTTCAGGGCTTGATGATTTTTCCCCTTTCAAAACCAATGGCCCTGATTATGGCTATTCAACCCAGTCCCAGAGCATGGTCATGGTTGGGTCTCATTCTGTAACCAAGGATCATTCACAGGTTTGTATATTAAAGTTTATTTTAAAACTAGAAATCAAACATGTATTCTTTTGTGTTACCTTACTTAGTTTGCTATATTCAGTTTACACTGCTTTCTTGTCAGCAATCTCAAAATACTGTACCAGCTTTTAACAAGACAACAGTCCCTGTGGCATTTAATGTAAAACAGATGCAATCACAGCAGCATCAGGTAAACATCACATGGCTTTGTGTGTGAATTGTTTGGGAGGGGTAGGGGTGGTTCTGCTTGCATTCTCTGATACAGCTACTTGTATTGGGGCAACTGCAGGTAGCTAAGAGAGGAAAGCAACAACCAAAGTTACCAGCAGGGGTATCAGACTACCACTGGAGGCTTAATTATAATGCTGCATATCCCCACTTTATCAGATTCTCTTTCTCTTCAGTATTATTGAAGGTGCTGTCATTCAGCATTTTGGATCAAAAATTGAATATAATTTCCATTACCCTGTTGGGATGGTACTGTAGAGTTACATGTGTATACAGGCAATATAATTTATATTAATTTCATGTGCTTGTTTTATTCCCCAGGGCCCCCAATACAGACATCCAATATCACATCCTCAGTCTCCACCCAGAAGAGACAGGAATCCCATCAACCAGGACACCAGCAAACAACCACCTCTTTCCCCCAAACAAATGAAACAGTTGTCCAAACTGCTATCTTTAATGGCAGAGAGCCAGCCAGGAATAGAAGTACCCAGTACGGAACAACTTTTTGGTGTCTTAAAAGAAATGCAAAATGGGTAAGTCAGTGTGGATAGTTTAACAAAGAATATTATTAAATTGTTAAAATTAATGAGATCCTAGGGACCAACAATCTCATTATCAGTCAACCTGTCAAGACCTTTTATTCAATGAACTGTTACAGTAAGAACAGAGTAGTTCCCAATGAATCTGTTTCTGAACAGCTTTAACTTAGAAGAAGAGTAGTTTTTATTTATTCTTTGGGATGGTTGTGAATAATCTGTTGTTTTAGGGCAATCACAGTGCTGAAACCAGTTTTCTGTTCTGAGTGAATCAGATTGCCATTGTTTCTAAATGGAAATGTGCTTTTTTGTTTTTAGAAGCATATCTAGTGGAATCCAGCCAAAAATTGCAAGAGATACTTCTGGTATTAGTACAACAAATACGGGTAAACAAGCAAATGTCAGCAGGGTAAAACGAAACCTAGACACAAGTTATCCATCGTCAGGGAAACCGGTTAGTGAACATATTCATTGAGTATAAAAAATAGAGTATATATTTCTTTCACTCTAGATTTCAAATTCCCTCTGTAACAAGAACAAAGGAATTGTTACGTAATGAAAACCCTGCTTATTTGGAATATTTTTATAGCCAATATTACTTTTTCAGAGACATCATGAGCCAATCCCCCTTCCCACCATACCTTCAAGAAGTTAGTTGATGTATYGAATTAGAAATTTCTTTCTTTCAGAAAATCCAAGGAGTAACACAAAGTAGTCATCCAAGCCATCCGCATGTTMATACAAACCCAACGAAAACAAATGACCATCAAAAAAAGAGGCCCCCTTCTATTGATGGTGAGCCAACCCAAAGATCAGGAGCTGATCCAGATGTTCCTAGACACCAGGCTCCCACCAAAGCAAGCAGCAGGCAAGCTGCCCCACCAAAGGTGGACAAAAAAACTGCTCCACCTCCTGGGGTAAAGCAGACTAAACCTTTGACAGCATGGAGATAGTAATAAGCCTACTAGTGCTTCACAAGACTTTTTAGTTGTGTGTAACATTCTGTATTTATGATGGAAAATCATGAGATCTACGGCAGTATTGAAATGYTAACATCCATTCCACAGTTAATATTAATAATGACGGTATAACACAGTACCGTAACAGCBTCACCGTAACCTCACAACACATTCTTACTATGCATTTATTTCCTTCGTCCAAATCTTCTCCCTTATCTCAACGCAAAGTGTAAATATCATATTAATGGTTGACTGTTTTGGACAGTGGACTAAAAAAATGAAGACAGCTCTACAAGATGTTTGTTACATAACCAGTTTAATATCCAACTGTACATAGCCTGTCAACACATACAGCATTCAAAACCTTACACACAAGACTTGCTTATATCCTAAATACTCATAATAATATCCATTTTCCATAAAAAAAACAAAAGACTCATTAGCTAGGCAAAGTTCCCGAATCAACCATTTGGTTAGAACTGTGTGACCAACAACATGTGTGTCTCCAACAACATTCATACAAATTTAGAGAAAAAAATTAACTAGAGCTCTATATATATTTTATTGTCTTATATGACTATACATGCTTTGGAAACAACTAAAGTAATAAAGTATCCTGGTAGTGCCAAAAATTGGTTTCTTGTTGACTTGATAACTATAATTTGCACCAAATCTACATTCTAACATCTACGAATACTTATTTTATCCATATAAATCTCATATAAATTTCACTATGACATCAAATTTATTAAAACAATCTATTGTTTTAACTTTAAGAATCATGGTTGCCAGAAGGGCATAAATGGCAGCAACACAAAAGAAATCAAAATAAAATTTGCTTTATGGGATGGTGAAAAGTGAGAAAAGGCTAAATGGTACACTAAAATTATATAACAAACGAATCTAAGAAGATTAACTAGCATTCTTGCCCATAAACAAGCTGTGATGACCGTCATGTGATGGCAGCCATGACAGTGCCATCTGATTTACACAAGTAAGAATTCAGTCTCCTATTGGTAAAAGACTATTGTTTTACCTCCTGTCATGGCTGCCATCACGTGATGGTTCAAATCCTCTAGACTTTTTCAATACAGTCACCATCATGAATTCTATTGTTTTAATGAAGACATTGTGAGATGCTGAGGAAGCAACTGTTGGAAAGTTCATACACCTCACAGCTGTCAGGATGTCTTTTTATTTAACTACACTTTCCAATGAGAAGCACATCTAAAAAGCAATTGAATTTGCTGGTAATGGGAAAAAATTAATATATGAAACTGACATTAGAATTCAACTCATTTCAAATGTAACCCACCCACTCTTGACTTGTGGTTTCTCTTGTTAATTGAAATGGAATTCTGCTTGATGAATTTGACTATCATTTACGATCAATTTAAAGAATGAACAATTTGAATTTTGTATTTCATGGGTTTTCTTGTTGGTGGAATGATGGAAAATGCTAATCAAAATTCTGATTGGTTGACCTTGAGTTGGTTCTGAAGGTCAACTCAGCTGGATAGGAATTTTAAACTGAGAAAATGATTAATACCCTGCCCTACCTACCCTGCGAGCAGATCCTCTGCCCTACCATGCCCTGTCCTCAAAGTTGAAAATTCCAAGCAAATTCCTCAACTACTAAGAATTGTAATCAAAATTTACCAGAATCGTGTCCAACATTCTAGCTCAACCCTCACTAAAAGTCTTCCAGTTGTCTTGTGATTTAGCTTCCATCAATCAAAATTCAACAATAACTTGATATGTTTGGACTGACAAGAGCTAAAAAGCAGTTCATTTAGAATGTCCTATAATTATCTAAGATAGTTGATAGAGATGAATGCCAGAGTATAAGTATACTTCTGAAAGAGTAATACTTGATGTTCAGTTATATGCAGGTAATCCCTTGATGAATCCATCCAGTTTTGTTTTAAATAGCTCACTTTCTATTGGTTCATCCAGCTTGCACAAGGGGTTCTTGACCACATATTCAACATAAATCTGGAAAATACATCAAAATATTTCTTTAGGAATTAAAAAAGCCTTTTGAATTAGTTTGTTGAATCCTAACCATTCTCAACATTGTTATTTAAATTATGGCATTCAAGAAGTAGCCATTTGATCATATTGACAATGCACTGCACATACCTTGCTATAGATTTCATAAAGTGTTTCTCTAGCATTATGGGTGTTCACATCAGTATTCATGATCAACTTCAATCCTGTTGGTGTCTCATAAAAATGAAGTTTGTATTTACTTGTTGTATAACTAAGAAAGCTGTCTTTTCTAAATGGAGATTGTCAAGGATAAAATTCACATTTTAGTAAGCTTACACCTAAGGTAAGTATCTTCTATAATTAACAGTTATGAAATGTAAGATTAGGAATAAAACATGTTGATTTGGTAAAACAATAATGAAAATGTGTGAAGCATGTATACATAAACAGAGCATGGGCAGAGGCAATAAAGTAATGTGTGAGTGACAGGTCTATTGTTCTCTGGTGGGGTTGTCATGGCAATGGTGGTCAGAGTCACTAGTGTTCTTGACAAGTCTGGTCCAGGTAGAATTTACGTATAGGAATCTTCTCTGTTGAAATCAGATTATCCTCATCTTGTTGAATATTGCCTTAACACCACCTATTTTCTTGGAAACAGTTCTACAAATAACAAGGAGCAGCTATGGGTTTGCCTTTATTAGTTGTCATTGCCAACTTGTTGACGGAGAAATTTGAGGAACAAGCCCTAAATAATGCCATTGACAAACCTACAAGTGTCACTTGGCCCCAAAGACAAGAATAACTTTATGCTTCCCTCCTCTACCTGAATGGTCGACACCCTAACATACCCCTTACCATGGAAACAGAGATCAATGACTTCCCTTTTTGGATGTTGAGGTTTAATGAAAACCTGATGGAATACTAGGACACTCAAGTGTACTGCAAGAAGACCCATTACCAATAGATACTTACTGATGCCAACTCACACCACCACTTCTCACACACTGTAAGATGTCTCTTATATCTAGACTCTTCCACTGTGCCAATAGTATTTCAGATACTGCTAGTGATGATAAAGAAACCATCACTCATGCACTAAAACAGAACCAGGGCCATAACCAGAACTTTTACAGGGAGGGTGCACATAGAATAAAATCGGACCATTGATCGTTTTTTTTTAACAAAGCAGAACAAACAAAAAAGGTAACCAAAAGAAAGCAGAACAAAAAAAAAGGAGATGGATGAGCGGACCTTAAGCTTTAATGGGGGGGGGGGGGGTGCATGTGCACCCTGTGCTCCCCCCTAGTTACGGCCCTGAGAACGGCATCACGGCAAACAGATTCTCCCTCAAACCACGACCATGAATAACACAGACCCTGATCTAGAAGACAAAACCATGGGTTTCACCTGTCATCCATACATTGCTAACACAACTGACAACTGATAAGTGTGGCATTCAACACCCTTCACAAAGCCTGTCAACATCGTTGACCACAGGAATACCACCATTACAGACCGAAGGCATATATCTCATTGGAAATGATTACTGTAAATGCTATAGGACATCAGTGACAAACTAAGAATGGACAATACTATTTTTCTGTCATTACCGACCAGGCTCACAACAGCCCTGATCATTACATCAACATAATTCTGTTAAAGTTCTCACCAAGACCTCCAAGTACGGCCTAGACTCATCAAGGAATTCAAACTCCCTCATTATTTCAAGAACACTAATGACTCTGAACGTCTTTATCATGACAGCCCCACCAGAGATTAAACCTGTCATTCATTGCTTTATTGCCTCCCATACTTTGTTTACAAATACCTGTACGTGCTTAATATAAATAATAAGCTTAAAAGGATACGAATCAAAGGGAGAAATACGAGCAACAAAAGACTTGATGGAATACAGCATACCATACATTAGTTTAAACTCCTGAAATGACAGGGAAAGAATTAGTTCAAATACCACGATATAAATAAGCTAAACATTGTCATACAAGAGTGAGAGGTCTGAGAGGCAGTCCTGAGAGGAAGCTGTTGAAGAAATTAACTTGCCTGTTCTCTCGACATTTCTGACAGTTTGGTTCGATTCCATTCTTCGTAATGTAAACAGGTACCATTTCGATCAAAAATGTACAAATTGTAGATAGTCATGATCCCAATATAAAAATGAAAAGCCTTTTAATGATAAAGTTTATCACACAGCCATCATGATCAGGAATGAACTGTACAGGCTCTTGAAGGTTCAGCGGAGTATGAAATAAGGGCTATGTAGCCTCGTGATACAAGACCTACCTGTTTAGGTTAGTACTTCATGTCACTTTTCATTGCCGTCTCTTACTATTGAACATATCAGAAAAGACTGCACTTTATTCTTCCACGAAGTGCTGTTATTGGGAGTTTTCGTGCATAACAACTGCAAATTTAGGTCGTATTTTTTGCGTCAAAACTTCGTTATTATTATTCAACCTTTCTTTAAAAACAGCGCAGTATGAAGCCAGGTGCATCGGCAGTGGTTGCTCAAGATGAGATGTTTCCTGATGGCGAGTCGGGATGGATGGAGATGGATGAGGTATGTGGTGTTGTCCATATCTGCTAGGACTGAGCTTACTTTTCATTTTTTAAACTTTATTTCTTAAATAAATTACAATTCTAATTACCATTAGTCTGGAGGTGGTGGTGTTATGCTTATTGAGTTAGCTGCAAACGAGAGAGCTGTACATGGAGATTTTTTCAACGGTAAGTGGTAAGACTAAACTCAAGGGTATCTTTCGAGATGAACTATTCTTGATAAAAATCCTGTTTCATTTGCAGCATTTGATGACTTATTTGACGACGATGACCTTCAGTAATGAAACAATTTAAACTAAAATAAGAAATGTAAAACTATATGGCTTGCAATCAGAAGCCAGGAATAATGTACATTGACATTTATTTAGACCTATCGGATGAAAAATAAGAGTATGATATTCAAAAGAAATTTTATTCCAGGACCTTAGGTTTTTTGAGTTTTAAATCTCAAAATAAATATTGGAAATATTTTTCATTACCTTAATGATGTTTAGTTTTCTTTTGAGATGTTTGGCAATTTTCATTAATTAAAAGTTAACATTCCGCAGGATACGTTGTTCGTGTTTCAAAAATGCGGTGTTCATGTTTCAAAACCTATAGTGTTCTACAAAGCAATTAGAATTACTTTAAATTTGATGTTGCAGTGTCTTGTCAAAAGGGTTTCAGAATGATCAAGCTTTTTTTAGTTTTTCGTTGTGGTGATGCAGTGTTTTTTCAGGTTTTTGTGGGGTTTTTTCGGTGTCGGGAGTCCCCAATGTCCCCCCCACTCTACAAAAATGGTATTCAGTGTATTGATTTCCTTAGTAGCGGCTGCTTACCCAAGCACAGCTTTCCATTACCTTTGTCTGCAGTTAACCAATTAGGGAACACTGTGACATTGATTTACCCCTTCATTCACAAAGCAGGAGAATAATCAACACTCCCCGAAAAATAACTTAAAGTGGGGATAAATGTTATCTCTGTTCTCAATCTTGTCTGAAGAACAAGATCTTTGTTTTCGGCAAAAGTTCTGAGATATTTCAAATCTTATCACCTCTGCATTTGAATAATTATTTATCACAAAGTGACAAATTGTTCATTTCTGTAACAAACTTACTACAAAGTCAGGTCTTAATGTTTGAGATTTGGCTTGAAATATACTCGTGAATCAGCTCTAGAGGGGCATCTCTTCAGTTAAAAGAAATGTTGTTCCATAAAGATAATTGATGTTAAAATAAAGGTAGCTTGTTATGAGATTGATCAGGGGTAACACAACAACAAGTATCATGTTGCTCACTTGTAAGGTCAAGGTCATCAATTACGAACTGTTAAAGCTTGAAATATGAGAGATTCTCCAAAGCCTGTCAGCAGATTTATAAACACATTTCTTTTCTTTTTTACTATGAAACATATAACCACCGATAACCACCCTCTGATGATTGTTTAATTCTGTTATTTGGAATTTTTCACTTGCTTTCTCAAACACTCTCTCAACCCGAGTATCAGGCCTTGGTGGTGGACAAGAGAGCCTGATACTCAGGTTAACACTCTCTCAAACTCTCCCTGCCATTTTGTAATGATTATGGCATGAAATAGTTCTAGATTTTGGGACTAGAACTGTGATTGGGTAATTTAAGGGAATGGAATGTTGTGTTCGGGTAAGCAGCCATGACTTAGCAGGCCTGTGTAACCCAGGGTACAGCTGCGTAGGAGACTTGGGGACTGCTGGCTTTAAAAAGCATACTGTCGATGTGGAGATTCCAGGGGGTAAAAAAAGCCCTCTAATATAGGTAGATATAAAACCATCAAGTTACAATCACTTGAAAATTGTCAACAGTTTATTTTCCCTCACTTTTGGTCAACAACTTGAACGATCTTAAACTAACGATTATAATAATTTATTATATCCATTTGATATTGTGATTCAAAAATTAGAAAAGTTGAAATGTATATATTTAGTCAAATGTACTCAGGAAAACAATGGAAATAAATGTTACTTTTATGTTTTGCATTTACTTCTACTCTTTTTCACAGGCCAAGTAAAATAACTCTAATCTATTATCTCACAACTGAAGTAAAACCACTACTTAATAAATAACCAAATATAAGGACAATTGTTAATTGAAAAAAAAAATAACATGCCTTCTTTTTTATTCTTCTCCCTTATAGTCTATTTGGCATTGCAGTACGTTTTGGGGCTGTTTTAGGGGATGATATATAGAGGCCAATATGGAAATATGTTCCCTAAAACAGCCCTTTAATGCACTACAGTGCCCAACCCAGGTTTTCGGTTGTATCGTCGTGTACGGGAATTGTCAGGGGAATTCTATTCAAATTCAAATTTCAAGTAATCGGCTAGTAATCGTACCCTACGATAGCATAAATTAAACTATAATAAATATTTATGTGCACGCGCTGATGATACATCGTTTAAATATGACTAAAAAATGAGACCACCCAACCGAATTCACTTTCGTGGTCTTGGGGTTAGAGTTAGGGTTGGGGTTGGCATTGTAGTAGTTCTTTGGTGCCGAAGGTACCGAGTTCGATTCTTGTTGTCTTCACTTAATTTTTTTTCTAAGTGAGGAGAACCAAAATTTCTAAGTCCCACTCGTGTGTTCGGAAACCTATGACGTACTTCGTTAATCCGTACACGACGATAGTACCAGGTTTTCCCTTAACCTTGTTATGGCTAATATAGATTAACAAAATGACAATGTCTAAATGAATTAAATCATGAATGATATCTATAGAGCATTTAGTGTTATATTGTAAGGATTATGTGTCCAAAACAAAAACCTATATATGATATACATGTAGATTTGTCTTAGTCCTTCTTCATGACACAATTTGATTTCCATTGAATCTGTTCCAGATGAAGGTTACTGTGCTTTTCAATATTTATTCAAACTTGGTAATTGCGAGCTGCATGCTGAAATTGGGTTTTTTGCTGCCGTCAATCAAAAATAATCAGTTGGTATTTTTGACTTGCAGCAGTCAGAAACCAATTTTACAACAAGCCATTGAAATATATCCAAGTTTGAAAATCACAGTAAATCATTAATAAACTTTTTTCACTTATATCAAGCAGATGTATTCACACTCCTCTTTCTTAATTAGTTAATAATGGGTTTAATTTTTAATGTCACTCAAAATAGGGGTAAGACCATAAACACACTCAGACTGTAGGTACTTGATTTATTTACATCATTTTATCATGTCCTACTTGTCATGACATATTTTCAATTTCTCATTCCCAACAAATTAGAAAGAGAATACTTTGAATTATTTGTATGATATGAAATAAATCTTACTGAAAAAGCTTTGTAGTTTCTATGAACATTAACTCTGATAAATCGGTGTTACATTTTTACAAATGTGAAGGCATAGAGCAATAGCCTCTTTTCTCATTTGAAAAATACATCTGTGTTTTACAACTAAAAGTTAATGAGCTTTAAGAGCAAATCATTTGCAAGAAGCAACTTTAATGTTAAGCATGTACAAGTTGATTTAATAACGATGTTTTGAAATCCCAAAGACTTTTAATGCTATCTGTAAATGGCTAACTTATGAATAAGGTTACAGTAATGATAAAAGGGTAAATTTTACAACATGAAAAGATGCAAAAACTTACAGACGTTAATAATAAAGCTCTTTTTTTTAGTGAAAGAACATGGAACTTAAAAATATGGTGGGCTTTTTTTCTAGAATCACATTGAACCCTAAGATGCTCAGTTAGACAGATGAGAAGTTCTTTAGTGTTGTGGAAGTAAACCCCTGAGGGTGTTTTGACATAACATATAGTAAGACTAAATGCCATTGTAGTCTTAGTGATGTCTTTCAGCATAACTCAATGCTTTTGGAACTATGAGGAATTGAATGATAACTATTAATAATATATATAGCTGCCATTACAGTCAAACTGTGTAAACAAGTGTAAACACGTAGAGGTCATTAATAATGCGACTTTATTTTTGGATTCTTGATTTCATTATTCCATTCGAACATTCATTAATGAAAACRAATCTTCAATATTCAAAAAATAATAATTTGAAAATTCGATTAACTTGGCTTGTTGGCTCTTGTTTATAGCGCAAACAGAAGGTAAGTCATTAATATTACATATTCCTTGCACAAAAAGTTGTTTTTGCATTTCAGTTGCATATATGCTTGGCTTTCGTAAATGCCAGGCTTTGAAGATTCGTTTTCAATAATGAATGTTTGAATCGAATAATGAAATCAAGAATCCAAAAAATAAAGTCAGCAATGACCTCTACGTGTTCACGCTTGAGGTCGTTTGACTGTAAAGTGGAGCTAGCATATAAAACTCCGGAAATTTAATTTGGCTGAAACTTCAATGGAATAATCTTTTAGTTCCGAAGGGAACTACAAATTTTTATAGGAGTCTGTGACGTCATACACTCAACATTAGACATTGCTCCATACATTTCTTTGTAAATACTTTCATGTTTTACTTTATTTCTATTAAGCCCAAAGGTCTGCTGAGGGACTTAATGTACATAAACTGTGGTTAGAATCATTTTATGGTATCCTTTTCTTCTATGCAGAGTATCAAACGTGCAGATATTTGGATTACAAAATATAAAGAAACATATGGAGCAGTGTTTAATTAAAGAAAGTGAAAGCTCGCGAAGGCTAAGTGCAGGTGGGTATAAAAGTTGGATCGGATTGGTTCCAAGTCGGATGAGATCGGATTGGATCGGATCAGAATTTGTGAGTATTTGATTTGATAGCCTACGTACCTTTATCAAGACGCGTTCGTGCCCTCTTTTTAACGGTGAACCATTGATATCGAAAAGGTTTCCAAATTAATGTTTTTTTCAAAGTAATGTAATTTGGAAATTTTTTCTTTACCAAGTTTTCCCTTTACTTTAAGCCTATATTTCCCAATACTTTGAAGAAAAAAATATAATTTGGAAACTTTTTCTTTTTTGACTTTTTTTCCCCTTTTACTTCCTTTTTTCCTGCTATATGATTCTGAAGTTTGGCTCCTCAAACTTTGATGTTTTCACATGTAAACATTACCAGTGTCCCAGTGTGAAACGTTAAAAGTTTGCGCGAAATTCCGAGTAATTATGATTCGTACAAACATTTATGGTCGCAATTTTCATTCAGATGCAGCACTACCTAGATGGTTTAGGTATGAAGCGGTGGAAAAGGCATCATTTCTGCCAACGAGAAGTTCATAGTATGCAATTGAGAGTTCAGCCTCCCACAGTTTCAAAGTGGTTAAAAATATCGAGAAACAGGCGATATAGATCCATTACCAAGTAAATTATCATTTGACGATAAAGTATTATTGGAAACTATTCTTCAGACCAAGTGATTAACTTCTGTTCAGGAAATTAAAGAACAATTTATTGATTTTGCTGACCGTGGAGGACTGTCTAACCCCCACGATATCGAGAAATATACGAAGAGTTTGAAGCGCCAAATGTCAAAGTTTGAGGCACCAAACGTCAACGTTTGAGGCGCCAAAAGTTAACTTACTGCCCCCAATTAGTGGCGGTTTTCTTTAGAAGTGTTTCCGCTTAGGTGAAAGCGACGGTAGCATTCAAATATTCCGATCCAATCCGATCTGACTGAGAACCAATCCGATCTGACTTTTATACCTGTCTGCTAAGTGCTGTAGTGTTGAGTGTATGACGTCACAGACTCCTATAAAAATTAGCAAAAATACGATACTTGCCATCTGAATATCAGGAAAAAACTTTAACCAGTGATTATCAGTCCAAAACGACTTCAGCTGAATTAAAAGTGGATGGTTTACGTGCTAGTCCCTCTTCAAGAATTATTTGGCTAAGCAGTATTTGGCTAACAGCACGCAGGTCTTTTTTTAGCAATGCCTATGCAACTTACCTGACGAGGGTTTTCTAATATCATTCATCTTCAACATGTCTTCATTTTTCTTTCTATATTCTGATTCACTATAATTGTCACTGATTTTTTCCCCTAACAATTAAAATATTTCATAAAAATGCTTAGTGTATGAGTAAAGAGGGAGAAAAGCTAAGAAGAGCTAAAAACATGTTTAATCCCTTGCCCAGTCATGTACAGATTGTACAGCTAGAATATTTGAACATGCTGCCACCTACCATCTGGTGTACTTTGAGATGTTTCCTCGGCAACATGCAGTGTGCTTGTTTGGTGTTCCTTAGCGTAAGATATGTCTTTATTCTGTGGTGCTCTATTCATTTGCATTTCTAGTATGGCATGATAGTTAGATTCCAGAGCTATTAATGGATTGGATTGAATTGGATTCGGCCCATTGACTGTGCACCAATCTCTACTTCCTTTTGAAGGATTCAATGATGGAGAAGACTTGTAATTCAAACTGTAGTCATTGACAGGTCCTGATGTAAGCTTGCTCAATGTCTGTAGGTTATTACTTTCCTTTCCAACTGTACTTGACATGTTTATCAAATTATTTGTTAACAGTGATTGATGTGGTAATGCAGGTAGAAATCCAGGAATGAGTGGAAATGGTACTGCCATCAATGAACGTTGCTGTATATTTTTTGGAACACTATTCATGTTGGATGAAATTCCTGTGCAAACATTTGGAGCGTTTCCTTGGAAACCAAAATACATGTTTTGCAAAACAGGGAAATTTGGCATAGTGAGGTGTGGAGCTTGTTTTGTTGAGGAAATACTTGAATATGAATTACAAGTTGCTTTTAGAGTTTCAGATTCAGATGTTGCTGAGGCGGAGGAAGACTCACTTTGATTGGACACTCCAGGGTAATAACCTGTGGCAGTCTTGGGTAGCAAATTTGCTTGGGATTGAACTTCTGACCCACCCAACTGCACATATGGACAATTCAGTTGGGGAATAAACAAAGACGGCATTTGGGGTATATTATAAAGCCCTGGTTGATGCATGACAGTACTGCCTGGAATCACACTAGGCATGCCAACACTGGGGAAAGGTAGACAATGCTGTGGTACCTGAGTCGAGTTTGTACAAGGATTTGAATGGTCAGAATCAGTAATCACTGGATACATACCAGGTGCAGTCCTTTGATGACAAGTTATAGGCAAGGTATGATGTACTTGCTTTATTCTTGCATCTTCAACAACAGCCTGTTGAGTAATGTTTCTTGATTGCTTTACCTTAAAGCTTGCATCCCATTCATGTTGCCATTCCCTGCAATTTTCATGAATGTGGACATTGTTCATTAGTCCATTATTAGAAGCATGGCTTTGTTCCTCCCAGCTTGTATCAGTTTTTTCATGACACGTGCTTGACATACATGCTGCATTTTCTCCAATTAATACACTTGACTTACTGATTTCTTTGTCTTTACCATCATGACAATTTAAGCTGCCTTCTCCACAATGTATGATGTGAGGGACAGAGGGCTGGATAGTATAACTTGTCTTGCTATCTATAGGCATACTATTATCTGGCGTTATGGCTTTAAACTCTTGGACTTCTTCATGGGGCCTTTCTGTCATTGATGTGGGATATTTAGTTTGTGAGAATGAGTTCCCTTGGACTTCTTCATAGGGCCCTTCTGTCATTGATGTTGGATATATAGTTAAATGTGAGAAGGAGTTCCTAGTTACTGTTGGATCTAAAACATCACTGTCTTCAACTTCATGGTCCCAGTCTTCTGTAGCACAAATCTCATTGGTAACATCAAACTGCAAATAAATCACTGGTTTTTTCTCATATTCTTTTTCTTCACAGCCATTAGAATCCTTTTTACCACCCTTTGATTCAACAGAACATGAATTCTGACCTTTCTGCCATGGTTCACTTAATTCTGTTACTGAAGAAGAGCTTGACAAACCATGGAGCAAATTTGAAGCAGTAGATAGTACTTTATTGTTTTCAATCTCTTTATCCCAATCCTCATGTACCAGTAAATGGTTTTCCATAATTCCACATTGATTTGCCATGGCAACCTGACTAGAAGTAGAGCTTTTATTATGTTCTATTCCATCAATGATCTTGGTATCTACTACGCCATGTGATTGATGTTGTTTAGCCTCACTGCATAAAATTTGATTGTGATTTACTCCACCTCCTCCTTTAGCTAGAAAATGAGAATACTTGCACTTCTTTCCCAAACAGCAATTTCTTCCATAAGGACATGGCTTATTTTTTTCGACATTACTCTTTTCCCTTGAGGCACATGCTTGGGTTTGATGTTTTGAATTTTTCCAGGGTCTAAAGAACTGCTCTTGTGGTTCATGTAATACAGGTGCATAATTTGCATCGAGAGTACTATCCACTTCATGAGTACAGGTACAATCACACTCATTTCGATTAATATCGTCCATAGCACCTGAATCACAACTGATATTCAACTGTTTCTTGTCCTGTTCATTTGTCTTTGCTACTTGTGAGTCAGCTGAAACCTCATTTAATTTTAAAATATCATTATCACCAAGTCTTTCATTATGATTTTCAGCATCGGTTAGCATGTCAGATTTTACTTCACTGTCAAGAAAGGAGTCTGCTTCACAGGTATCTGAAAGTCGTTTTTCAGGGCTTTGTTCTTGGAGTTTTTCTTGTTCTAATGTCATCAAGCGTATCTCTTCCTGTAGGGCAGCTATTTGTCTGAAAACCAGGGGGGGGAACAATCACTGAATATTCTGTGCAACATTTGATGAAAACCAATAAAAGGATTTAGAAAAACCTGATTGATATAGTGCAAAGTAAGATACTTACTTTTGTTGTTTTTCAATCTCCACTTGTTTCTTACTCATTTCTAAGGCAATTTCTAATTGTCTTAACTCTTCTTCTTCATTAGTTGGTTGTATTTCTCGGATTTCATTCTGTGTTTCTAATCTCTTCATCCAGATATTTGGTGACTGTGTTGATGTAATGGGTGTTGGACGTTTGGCTGGCTATTAAAAGAAAAATAACCAAATTAATCAATATTAAATCTCATACATGTACCTTATGGACAGGTCAATCTACCATGTGTTATATGGGAAGCGGTGGCATGTGATGCTAATGCACTACCTCTCACCAATGCGACCTAGGTTCATTAAGCCCTGGTGGGCTCAGTGTTGTATGCAAATTGATTTGTTTGTTGGTTCTCCTCTGTGCTTCAAGGGATTTTCTCTGGGTTCTCCAATATTTCCTCCCTCCAATAAAACGATCATTAGTTAGTCATTAAGCCATCCACCAAGGAGTGGTAAACAACATTAGATGTCATATCTTTACCTTTTTAATGTTAAATATTATGCTTTTCTAATCTAATACAGATTCTACAAACCTGTTGAACTGGTTTTGAAGGTCTAAATACAGGAGCTATCAGTTTACTTGGTATACCATTTCTTTTTATACCACTACTGCTTTTTGCTGGCTTTGTAGCTGCTGGCTTTGCAGCTGCTGGGGTTGTAGATTTACAGGTTTTGGGTTGTTGTCTTTCAAATTTCTGGGTATTATTATCTTCAGTTTTTACTCGTTCCTGAAGTACATCAAACAGTATTTTAAATTTCAGTGGTTCTAGACTTTATACAGAGCACGCTAACATAACCAGGCTCCAGTTCGGTGGGAAGGCTTCATTCTCAAAGTTGGAAACACAATAACGTAACTACAGAATAGTCTTTACTTAATAGAGTTCCTCCTTGAAAAGAGTATTTTACAGCCATCTTGATTGCCCATTAAGTTAAGCAAACTCAAAATAGGTAACCAAAAGCAGAAAAATGCCAGAAGGGGAGGCTACAGTATATCTTTTGATGCAGGAATCATGGTCTTTTCCTCCTCTTTTTATCTGTTATGTTGACGTCATATAGAAACAGTGTATATTTATGAGGTACCTTTTTATGTTTTTTCTTAGGTTTTTCTTTTGTTTGCTTTCTGTTTCCATTCACTTGTTCTTCATTCTCTATTCCATTCTCAGTACTACAAAAAAAGAAGGTAAAATTCTTTACCATGATGTAGAAAGTGCTGTAATCTTAAATTATTATAACTTAAAGCTATTAATCATTCAGACAAACTCAAGTATTTCAAGTACATCCTTACCATTCTAATTTCTCTTTCTCTTTCTTCATTTCTTTGCATTCCTTGGCATGCTTCAATTAACCCAATGAAAATTTAACTAATTTTTTTCCCACTTACTTATTAAAAACTATTTGGATAATATCTTGTTTGAAGAAACCATCCCAAACATTTTGTATCCACACAAACCTCAATTTTCTGCTCCTCCTGTTTTTTCTTGATTTCAATTTCTTCTGCAATCGTAGATATTTCCTGATAATAATATCAAAGAACACCCCCTGAGTAACCTGCCACATCTATTCATTACCATCTCAATCAATGCTATGCTACAGACGACAGAAGACCATTATAACAAAAAAAAAACCTGCAGATCAACAATTAATAAAGCAATTATCTACCAATATTATTATTCAACCTAATACCACTGTTTTCATTTTGTATGAGTTAATTCCTATTTTATTCATTTTGATTTGCTTCTTTGGAGGAGGAGGGGTTATTCAAAACAAAGACCCAATTAAAATGTCTTGATTGCTACCAATTCCCAAAGTGTTTACCAAATATAAGGTTGAATTACAATAAAATGGTGGATTTCTGTTTAATTACTTGGTGGGCTTCCTGTGGAACCACATCAAGTCTAAAATGGGCTTTTCTTCTAAATTCCGACAAAAGCTTGTCATTCTATGACAAGTTTAAGATTAGGTGTAACATAACATGGCATAATGACTTGTATTAACATGCAACTATTTGTCAGCTGGAAAACCATATTAATTTATTTCCTTGGATTCATTGTTTACAAAAGCCACCAGTCTCTCAACATCTAAACAGTACACTCTAACTGCCACAACACTCTAGGGAATGATTAGAGTCTGTAGTGACCATTTGGAATTCCTGTCTTTGTCAATTTGTCAATTTTTTGGCTTTCAATTTGACGGCTACTGTCATCAATCCTCACAATACCACTTGCCGACACCTTGCCATTAAGTTATCAACCACTTACCAACGCCCTACCGACACGGTGTGCATTGATTACAATAACCAAACTCGACAACGGTGTCAAGAGGACATGGAAACACCTACTACTAATTTTACTATTTTACAAGACATACTTCAAAACACTTATTACTTCACATTCTTTTAAAAGTAAGGTCTACCTTTTCTTTTTTCCATTGCTCTGCTTTTAGCTGCTTGTTAGTTTTCATCTTTACCTGGAAAAAAAATTCCTTGTTCTACATTTAAATGATATTTTGTTGCTGTTCATAATATGTAATTACATGTATCATGCACTCATGTGTGATGACCAGTGGTTCCTTAGTTTTATCATGATTCAATTAATTGAGCATTAAATCTCTCATTGACAAGTTACCTTCTGTACTTTAGGGTCATTCTTTGGTTTGGATGATTTTTTTGACTTAAAGAATTGAAAAAAATATCTAAATATAGGTATACTTAATAGGTATTCAAATATAACATACATTCATAGCACACACAAAAAACAGCTTACATCACAAAATGTTTTCTTGTTGAATTCACGCTGCTCCTTTAAAGAGTTGAACTTGACAAAGTGCTTCATCTGTAATGATGGAGATGAAAATAATAAAAATTATCTACCCGGCCACTGATTAGAACATTAAAAATAGCAATGTGAATATTCGTTATTGACTCCTCACTATGATTTCCAAAACCACCAATAAAAATGCCCATTAATTGAAAAATTAAAGCTTAACCATTTTGAGCAAGTTGGCCTGACCTAAAACCAGTGTAAGATGTTAACTTTGAAATAGAAAAACTTTTGAAATCAAAAATCAGAAATGTCCAAAAATCAGAAATGTCATTAATTATTTTCTAGATAATTAAACTTATTGTGTAAAATAATTTTTCCCACCTTCATCAAGTTCTAATATCTTAATTGTTTGTACTAGCTCTGAGTACAAAAAGTCTAACATTTTGTTCAATTCTATTTGGAATTTGACATCACTAGCAGTGAAGAGAGTGAAAATGCTCAAGAAACCATTTTGAGCCTTCTTATAAAAAAGGGCTTTACCTCTTCATCTGTGAAAGTCGTTTCCCTTTGTTTCCTCTTGTGTTTCTAGAAAGGAAGCAATTGTGATGCCTATTACCCAGGGGCATAGCGAGGACCTAGGAGCTGGGGGGGGGGCACTGATCCAAAATAAGAAAAAATTCCAAATTCCCAGGTGCAGATTCCAGGCTCTGACGGGGTTCGCAGTGCACAGGTAGCCCGTCCGGATAACTTCGTATAAATTCGCACTTTTGTAGGTTGTAATAATTTATTTTCCTCTTTCGTTTCGGTTTAATATGTTTTTTTTGTTGTTATTCTTTTTTCAAAAATGTTTTTCCCAAAAATTTTGGGGGGGGGCACATGCCCCCCCATGCCCTCCCCTCGCTACGCTACTGCTATTACCAAATGCCTAACTTGGTCTAATATGTGTCTCATTTGTATAATCAAGCCCAAACAATGGGGGAAATGACTTCATAAACTGAGATTATCCAAGATGTGTTAGGATGTAAAGTGCATCCCAATTAATAATGCAAAGTTAGTCTGGAAAGGGTATCGGTCTTTTCGCTACCTTGCACTTTCGCTACTTACCTAAAAGGTCGATTCGCTACTTAATAGAAGTCGATTCGCTACTAACTATAAAAAAACTCCACTAGATTGCTTGCTTCGTAGCTAAAATTCTTCCTTGACGTAAAGTCTTTTATTTTAAAGTCATACTTTTAGTCATCGAGCAAAATTGGGGATAAAAATAAGCCTTCGTTTCTCATAGCTTTCGATTTGTTTGTTGTAACACAACGCCGTAGTAAGTCCGTTCGCTACTTTACAACAAAGCTAAAATAACTCCACTAGATTGCTTGTTTCGTAACTGAAACTCTTCCTTGACATAAATATCCTTCAAAAAATTTCCTAAGAAAAGAGCGAAAGCAAGAAACCTGTTTGATATAACAGATTACAAGACGGATATTCGGCCGACTTCTCCATTACGCCAAATACGCTTTGAAATTTCTTTCTTTAAAAATACATTCAAATAATAACAAATTACTTAAAATTGCTGATAATATAAATGATCCTAAATGTCATAGAGAAGGTTTACAGGCATCTTGAGATAAAGTAGCGATTGTGTTACCTCGAGGTAGCGAATCGACTTCTATTAAGTAGCGAATCGACTTCTATTAGTAGCGAAAGTGCAAGGTAGCGAAAAGACCGTAATTCCTGGAAAGTCGCTAGTAGTGCAATCTTCATCAATTGAAAACTGTTTTGATTAGTCTTGACACTCATTTTTACTGCTTTGAATAAAACTCCCCTGTTACTAGTAAGCTGAAAGAACAAATTTGTTGTTCTTCTTCCCTTGTGGTACAAAGGCTGGATTAAGCTCTATTTGACAGATCAGATAAATGACTTATCCAGTGGATAAATTTATTGGATAACAGCATCAACCTATCCAGGAAATAACAATCTATATTCATCTCATCTCGCTATCCAACCTTGGTACGACCAGGACCCTGCATAATAAGCATTGTATCTGACAAGAAGACCCCTGGTCAAGTAATATATATTAATATTGCCAAATTTAACTACTAAGTAGTAACTTAACTAGTAACTTTTATTACCTTGTAAAGACCGTCAAGAAATTCTTCATCTTCATCACAATCCTGCTGTGCACAATTAGGGCTGAAATACATATTCAACAACATGTCACTAATAAGGTCATTGACATGGCTTCATGGTTAATTACATAGCCTGTAGCAGTGGTCAATCAATACATTTTTCACTAACATTTGTGCTGCTACTACTGTGGGGGGG